GTGGACTAGGACCTGGCCAGCCCAGGGTTCACATCCTCACTCGGCCAAGAAGTTCCCTGAGTGTGACCTTGGGGACCAGTCACTACCTTCTCTCAGCCTTTACCTACCTCGCAGGGTTGTTGCAGTGAGGAATCATTGAGGAGGGGGACCGCCTTGAGTTCAGAAATGCAACAAATAAATAAATAAAATAAACACTTTTGGCAGACGAATGACTTCCCTGTGGAGGGGGCGAGGGATTTGGTCCTTCCCACCCTCCCCCCAAAATCCCCCAAGAAATCTGAAGTTACTACCGTAAGCAAACAGTTTTAATTAAGAGCTCATCTCGCCGATTTTCCCCTGTTTTTCTAGAAACAGAAAAGTAAAGAAAGCTTCCCACCCCTAATTAGGTTAATTTAACAAATTCTGGTCCCCCACCCACGGCTGGGATACTTTAATCTCCTTCGGCTTGGGAGCTGAATTTTCTACCACTTCAGCATCACACACATCAAAGGTCTGGCCGGGGGAGCCCCCTGTCTCTGCTCTCCCCGAACCCGGGGCTTTCCCAGCGGGAGCAAATAGAGGCAAACCCCGTTAGCGGAAAAGGCAGCGCTTATCGGGGTGAGCCCAGGAAGCTCTAAGATGGAGCCTGGTGCTTTTACCAACCAAGTGCAAGTCTTTGTTGGGCTGCGCCAGGGGGCTGTGCCAGGGGAACGTGGGCTGTGCCAGGGGCGGAACCAATGGAGCTGATGGTGGGCTTGTCAGGAGCTCATCCTACACTCGAGTAGGACCCTGGCAGAGACACATGCCCAACTGGCATGTTCCCTCCCTCCTGGTCGATCGTTCGGGAGCTTCAAAAGCTTTCTTCAGCCCGAACATCACAGCGACCGATGCCAACCGACACCGGCACACTTAGTAATAATAATAATAATAATAATAATAATAATAATAATAATAATAATTTATTATTTATACCCTGCCCATCTGGCTGGGTTTCCCCAGCCACTCTGGGCGGCTTCCAACAAAACACTAAAATACAGTAACCTATTAAACATTAAAAGCTTCCTTAAACAGGGCTGCCTTTAGATGTCTTCTAAAAGTTTGGTAGTTATTTTTCTCTTTGACATCTGGTGGGAGGGCGTTCCACAGGGCGGGTGCCACTACCGAGAAGGCCCGCAGGGAGAAGGCCCGAGAAGGGATCTGCAGAGCCTTCGCAGCTTGCGTAACAGACCTCAGCAACTCAGCATTTTGGCTAATCTACTTTATTTACATCTAAACACACACGGAGCACTGCAAGATGGCTCTCTCTCTCTCTCTAGCATTAGGCAGCAAAGAGAATAAGAACAAAGGACAATAGTCCCACTTCACACAGTAACACAAACATCCTTTCTCCGTCACTTCCCACTCTGTGGAGTCAAAACATACACCATCATGGGATAGACAACAATCCCATGACTGCAATCACGGAGCAGGAATTCTAACAGGGCTTCCATTGGATCTGTCCCTTGCCCATTTAAGCAGCCCACACCTGGGGCACAGCCTGTTTGTTCCTGTACCGGGTTTCCACCCACCCATAGTTTATGCTGATAGTCAATGACTTTGCTGTGGCTACAGTGGTCGGTGTTCTTTACTGGGCCAGGTAGGAATTTGCCCACTGGGCTAATTGGTACTGACCTGGTGGTTATGCCTACCTCATAGCAATTCGTCACAACTGGTTGGGCGTAGGGCAATCCCTTGTTTTGGATGGAGGGGAGGTTGTAGTATCCCATTGGGGTATTCTGTTAAAGGGATCTGGGAAGAGTGGGCATGTCCACGTGCCCGGGGGGGGGCAGATCCGAAGGCACTCCCCAGAAGGTGGTCCCTGTGGGGGTGACCCTATTGGATGTAAGTCTTAGGAACCTCCACCTGGATTGACCACGTGTCACTTCCGGCGGGCGGGCCGGATGTGTTTAGATTGCCCCATGCCCAAGCCAAACCTCTTTCATCTGTATTCAATAAAGTTGTGGCCTGTTTTTACCCCCAAACCCAGTCTTATTGGACTCTTATTTATACAGTGGTACCTTGGTTCTCAAACGCCTTGGTATTAAAACAACTTGGAACCCAAACACTGCAAACCTGGAAGTCAGTGTTCCAGTTTGCTATCCTTTTTCAGAAGCTGAATATGCTCTGTTTTGAGTGTTACACTTCCAATTTGAGAGTTACGCTTAGGTCTGTCTGTTTTAGTTTATTTCACATTTTTGTTTTTTGCGGCTTTTTTGTTTTGTTTTTGTGACTGTGTGGAACCCGGTTCAGCTACTGATTGATTGATTGTGTGACTGCGGTATATTGTTTATTGCTTTCATTTTATGAATCAATGGTCAATAGTAAAATTCATGTTAAATTGCTGTTTTAGGGGTTGTTTTCAAAAGTCTGGAACGGATTAATCCATTTTGCATTACTTTCTATGGGAAAGCCCGCCTTGGTTTTGGAACGCTTTGGTTTTGGAATGGACTTCTGGGAACGGATTAAGTTTGAGAACCAAGGCACCACTGTAAGGGTTGGGGTATGGGAAGTCCGATGCCTCGTCCTGCAAGAGGTGAATTTCATCCCAGGCCACAGCTATGCTGGAATAAGTGTTGGGCAATGCTCTTAAGTGCAGTGAGACATCACTGGGTGTCAATAGAAGGCAAGTTTGTAAGCAATTAACATGAGCTTCCTCGAGTCTATGCCCTTTCCCTGGCACCGTTAAGCATGGGGCCCTCCTGCTAGAAGATTTTGTAGGTGCCAAAACAAAAACAGAGCTTGATGCGTCACTAAACTAGACCCTGGAAATAACAGGCACCCAATGCATGCCAACCGCAAACAGGACAGGCCTCCGCTCAGGGGTAGGGCATCTGCTGGGCATGCAGAATGTCCCAAGTGACTGCGACTGGCCTAGGGTCACACCCAGTGAGCTTCATAGCTGAGTGGAGATTCGAACCCAGGTTCCCAAGGCCGTAGTATGACACTGGAACCACTCTGCCACACTGCCAATCAGTTCAGACCACAGGTCAGGGTAGGATTTCCAGGCCAAATTGTTGGTGTGTTCCCAATAATTCCTTCGCAGCGAGACTTGGATTCAGGACTGTTTCGATTTGGTGTTGAAAGGAAGCATCTCTGCTGCAATCAGGCTTGCTTTTGGCACTGTTCCTCTGCAGCCAGTCTGGGTGGGGCTGGTGCGTGTCTGTAGTGCAAAACATATGGAGGGCACCAGGTTGGCAAGGGACTGAGATCTGAGATCATGGAGCTGCTGCAAAGTGACCCCTTCTGCCTCGGCATGCAAAAATAGTAAAAGGTAAAGGTACCCCTGCCCGTACGGGCCAGTCTTGCCAGACTCTAGGGTTGTGCGCTCATCTCACTCTATAGGCCGGGAGCCAGCGCTGTCCGCAGACACTTCCGGGTCACGTGGCCAGCGTGACAAGCTGCATCTGGCGAGCCAGCGCAGCACACGGAACGCCGTTTACCTTCCCGCTGGTAAGCGGTCCCTATTTATCTACTTGCACCCGGGGGTGCTTCCGAACTGCTAGGTTGGCAGGCGCTGGGACCGAACGACGGGAGCGCACCCCGCCGCAGGGATTCAAACCACTGACCATGCGATCGGCAAGTCCTAGGCGCTGAGGTTTTACCCACAGCGCCACCCGCGTCCCACCCATGCAAACATCTGCCCCTCAAATAATTTGGGGAGATAGTAAATGTTGCCTTTCCTTTTCTCAACAGCTCCTGGCTGCTTGTTTTTTAGAAGTCTTGCTTTCCTGCACATTGCCATGCTGCTGGTGGTTTATGTCAGCGTTTTTCTTTTCTTTTCTTTTCCATTTCTCAAAATCCCTCAGCACTTTCCTTTTTGCTCCCCCTACCGCCAAACTCCCAAGACCACCCACGTCAAAAATTCTGTTCACTTCCAGAAAATACTTGAATTCCACACCTGTATGACATGCGAGAATCACCACATAATATCGCCGTGTTTGCTATGGAAGAGCCAGCTGACAGAGAGGTGAGCCATTGCTCATTCCTGCAAGACCTCACAGGGCATTGATTGAATGAAGCTGAAATAGAGAAATTGCAAGGAAGGACTGCAACCTTCCACAGCAAAGAACTGCAACATAAATGAACCAGAGATGGCAACTTGTTGGCTGTAACACAGAGAAACATCAACACTCTAGCAGCCTCAAACCTGAGGTCTTCCTTGAGAATCCTAATTCCATCCCGCCCCGCCCCACCAAAAAATTATCAATATAGCGCTGAAATTAGTGGAGAAATTAGCATAGTATCCAAACAGAGACAAAAAATACCTGCTGTTTGATCTCAGGAACCATTATGCACAATTTGGTTATGATTCCCCCCTTTTTCATTATGAAAGCTTAAAAGAACGAAGACAATATACAGAAATAAACATCAAATATCAAGCATGTTTTTAGCATTAAAATTAAAGAAGAGGAGAAAAAAGAAAAGGAGAAAAACTTCCGATTCTCCGTCGATCCACTTTAAAAACTTGTGGAAAATTCTTACTTCATAATAACATTAAACTCTTCTGCTTTCTACAAACCAACCTCCCCCCACCCCCAGTCTTCAAACCCACAATTTTCCTTATTGTGCAGGAAGTCTAAAAGCAGTTTCCAATCATTAACAAATGCCAACAGTGATTTTTCTCTAATTAAGCACGTCCACTTTGCCATCTCAGCCAAATATCAATAGCCATTCTTCCATAGTAGGCAATAATAACTCATCACAATTTGCTTATGATTTCTTAAAATGTGTCAAAACGTAAGCAAACAAACTTCCTTCCAGCTTGTATAGTAGATTCGTGGCGGGTGCCCAGCACTGCCCTGGAATTTTTAGAAACTAAAAAATATTGTCATTTTTAAAATGGACAGAGTAATTCTTGAGTTCGGACCCAACAGCCCAAAATTGGGCGAAGCAACGCTAAAGTGCTCCACCACCAACCTGTGACCTCAACCTGGATGGGCTTTCCTCTCCCATTGTATTCTTCTTCTTACATTTAAACACCACCATAGCTCGGTCGGTAGAACATGAGACTCTTAATTTCAGGGTCCTGGGTTCAAGTCCCATGTTGGGCGAAAGATTCCTGCACTGCAGGGGGTTGGACTGGATGTCCCTCGTGGTCCCATCCAACTCTATTTGTTCTATGATTTCTTCCAACATGGAACCCAGGGCATAAAACCATAGATATGTATGTGGTTGCCAGACAGTCTCTCATCCAGAAATTGACCCGACCCAAACCTGCTTAGCTCCAGGAAGGTGGAGGTCTTGTGCACCTTCAGACCACACCCTGGAACTGTGGTCTTCTCTCGCTTATATGGAAAATTGGACTGGTCATGTTGTGCGGATGCCTGATGATCGTCTTCCAAAGCAAGCACTCTATTCCCAACTTAAAAATGGAAAGCGTAATGCTGGTGGTCAACAAAAGAGGTTCAAAGACTGTCTCAAGGCAAATCTAAGAAAAAGTAGTATAAAAACCGACAACTGGGAAACACTGGCCTGTGAGCGCTCCAGTTGGAGAACAGCCTTGACCAAAGGTGTCATGGGCTTTGAAGATGCTCAAACTCAGGATGAAAGGGAGAAACGTGCTAAGAGGAAGACACGCTTGGCAAACCCTCACTGTGATCAACTCCTGCCCAGAAACCTATGTCCCCACTGTGGAAGGACATGTGGATCCAGAACTGGCCTCCACAGTCACTTACGGACTCATTGTTAAAACCGTGTTTATGGAAAACAATCTTACTCAGCTACGAGGGATCGCCAAAGAAGAGGAGGATATGGCAAATTGAACTGAACGCAGCAGGATCAATCCTGCAAGCTGAGTACTGCGGATGTGATGGATCTGGAATGCAGACAACTCTCTCCGGTTTTGCCCCTGGGGCCACCTAACCCACATGCTGTCTTTGTGTAGCATTGATTGGTGGGTTTCTAAGCAGAGTTTGGGCGGCCATCTGTCAGGGATCCTTCAGCATTGTGGGGGGCTGGACTAGATGGCCCTTGGGGGTCCCCATCCAATTCTACAATTCCACAGTTCCATGACTGCAGCATTGGAGAGGCAGTCGTTCCTTCTGGGCTCCTACGCCTAGGAGCTCTCCAGAGGCAGCCACACAGAGCTGGAGGCGTTTCCTTGCCACGGCTCAGCCTCAGAGAGGTCTCAGAGGAAATTAAGCAGGGGAAGAGAAACTGTTTCGAGCACTCGGGACTCTGCGGGGGTGCAATAGAGGCTTCCTGCGCGGCCGTTGCGCACCTCCGACTTTGCTCTCCTTCCAACCACCAGAGGCCAAAAGTGCCCGGAGCGCGTTGCTTTAAGATCAAGATCATTTTTAATTAAATGTTTATGCAGCACTTTGAAGATGTGGAGCCAAGTGCTAAGTAGCATCGCGGGGAAGGTTGCTTCACATCCCAAGCCGTGAGCTGCGGGATCGGACGGAGAAAGGAGGAGAAGGCAGATCTCTTTACACGCCCCTGTTTCATTCTGCAGGGGTGGGTTTCTGCGTTGTGGGAAAGCTGGTCGGAAAGATACAAGGACTCAGCGGTAGAGTACTAGAGGAGGTCTCCAGGAAGGGCTGGAAGAGACAGCTTGCTCGAAATCCTGGAGAGACTCTGCCAGTCAGTGTGGACAATATTGAGCTGTTGTTGTTGTTTAGTCGTTTAGTCGTGTCCCCCTGGACCAGAGCATGCCAGGCACTCCTGTCTTCCACTGCCTCCCGCAGTTTGGTCAGACTCATGTTTGTAGCTTCAAGAACACTGTCCCACCATCTCGTCCTCTGTCGTCCCCTTCTCCTTGTGCCCTCCATCTTTCCCAACATCAGGGTCTTTTCCAGGAGTATTCTCTTCTCATGAGGTGGCCAAAGTCTTGGAGCCTCAGCTTCAGGATCTGTCCTTCCAGTGAGCACTCAGGGCTGATTTCCTTCAGAATGGAGAGGTTTGATCTTCTTGCAGTCCATGGGACTCTCCAGAGTCTCCTCCAGCACCAGAATTCAAAAGCATCAATTCTTCGGCGATCAGCCTTCTTTATGGTCCAGCTCTCACTTCCATACATCACTACTGGGAAAACCATAGCTTTAACTATAGGGACCTTTGTTGGCAAGGTGATATCTCTGCTTTAGAATCATAGAATCATAGAATCATAGAGTTGGAAGAGACCACAAGGGCCATCGAGTCCAACCCCCTGCCAAGCAGGAAACACCATCAGAGCACTCCTGACATATGGTTGTCATTTAAGATGCTGTCTAGGTTTGTCATCGCTTTTCTCCCAAGAAGCAGGCATCTTTTAATTTTGCGGCTGCTGTCATCAACTGCACTGATCATGGAGCCCAAGAAAGTAAAATCTCTCACTGCCTCCATTTCTTCCCCTTCCATTTGCCAGGAGGTGATGGGCCCAGTGGCCATGATCTTCATTTTTTGGATGTTGAGCTTCAAACCATATTTTGCGCTCTCCTCTTTCACCCTCAATAAAAGGTTCTTTAATTCCTCCTCACTTTCTGCCATCAAGGTTGTGTCATCGGAGCTACATCATATTGAGCTACATGGTCCAATTCTGCATTAGGCAGCTCCCTTGCTGGCAAGAGTGGTAACACAGGACACAGTTACAACTCAGAACCAGTGTGCAAAAGGAGTGGCTATTGGGTTGGGAGGCCTTCCTCCTCAACAGTGAAAAACGTCTAACCTCTGAATATCAGAATACCCAGCTGGATCAGGCCAATGGCCCATCTAGTCCTGCTCCTGTTTCCACAGGGGCCAAACAGATGCCCCAATGGGAAAAACCCGCAAGCAGGATCCAAGCACACAATCCCTCTCCCCTCCTGCAGTTTCCAGCAACTAGAATTCAGAAGCATTGCTGCCTTCAACTGTGGGTGCAGAGTAGAGCCATCATGGCTAAGAGCTGTCCCTAGCCATCTCCTCCATGAAAACCCTTATGTTCTATGATGGTCGCAGTTCCTTTTCACGGAAGGTGCCAGAGATGGAACTGCACTGCACGGGTTTGAAGATCAGAGCAACGAGGCTGACTCTCCTCAACTGGAGGTTATTAAGCTGAGGTTGGATGGCTATCTGTCAAGGCTGCCTTGCTGTGATTCCAGTACTGCAGGTGGTTGAAATAAATGGCACTTGGGATCTCTTCCAGATCTACAATTCTATGATTTTTGCAGACTGCCTTCTGATCTTCAGAAGAAGGGCAGAATATCCCCCCTTTATTTCCCCCTCTTACACGGTTTCTATTTCTCTTTCTTTTATTTACATCGCACCATGTTTAGTGCACATATAATTATGTACTTTTTGAACTTACAATAAAGATTTTTTAAAGAAGAAGAAGGGCATTATAGAAATTAATTAATTAATTAAGTAATTAACGAAAGATGATATGATTTTTATATAATTAACGATTATATTATATAAAGATTACATCATATAGAATCATAGAACTGTAGAGCTGGAAGGGACAATCTAGTCCAACAACTTGCAATGCGGGAATCTCAACTAAAAGCATCCCTGACAGATGGCCATCCAACCTCTGCTTGAAAGCCTCCAAGGAAGGAGAGTCCACAAAGCATCTTCTCTACCACCCACCAACAGATCCTCTTTTAGAGACATGGATCAGCTATACAGAGATCATTTTGTTGCTGTTGTTTAGTCATTTACTCGTGTCCTCCTCTTCGTGACCCCCTGGACCAGAGCACGCCAGGCCCTCCTGTCTTCCACTGCCTCCCGCAGTTTGGTCAAACTCATGCTGGGAGCTTCGAGAACACTGTCCCATCATCTTGTCCTCTGTCGTCCCCTTCTCCTTGTGCCCTCCATCTTTCCCAACATCAGGGTCTTTTCCAGGGAGTCTTCTCTTCTCATGAGGTGGCCAGAGTCTTGGAGCCTCAGCTTCAGGATCTGTCCTTCCAGTGAGCACTCAGGGCTGATTTCCTTCAGAATGGAGAGGTTTGATCTTCTTGCAGTCCATGGGACTCTCCAGAGTCTCCTCCAGCACCAGAATTCAAAAGCATCCATTCTTTGGCAATCAGCTTCTCCTTTACCCAATGACTTCCCATCCAGTTGCCCTGGAGGCAAGAAGTCAGCCTCAAGCCAACATTTGCTACCAGACATTTTCTCCCATATGTTCTGAGCACCCCAGTTTAAGAAGGAGATGGGAATGTGTGCAGAGGAGGGTGACCGTGACAATTAAGGTTCATGGAAACCCAGAAGCCTTATGGGGAACAGTTGAGTGGGTATATTTCACCTGGAAAAGTGGAGAGTGAGAAGAGATGGGATGCCCACCTTCATCTTCCATGGGACAGCCATTCCTATAACTGCAGCAAGATAGTTTTCCACTGCTCCGGAGGGTGAGATCCAAACCAATGGATTCAAATGACAAGGAAGGACATCTCAGCTAAACGCCAGGAAGAGCTTTCTGACAGTAAGAGCTGTTCCTCTGTGGAAAGGTGGTAGACCTCCTTCCTTGGAGGTTTTCAAGCAGAGGCTGGGTGGCCATCTGCCAGGGATGCTTTAGGTGGGAACTGCAGCTGGCCTGGACCAGATAACCCTCAAGGTCCCTTCCAACTCTATGTTTCTATGGTTCCATGCAGGTGGCACTGTGGGTTAAACCACAGAGCCTAGGACTTGCCGATCAGAAGGTCGGCGGTTCGAATCCCCACGATGTGGTGAGCTCCCGTTGCTCGGTCCCTGATCCTGCCAACCTAGCAGTTCGAAAGCACGTCAAAGTGCAAGTAGATAAATAGGTATCGCTCCGGCGGGAAGGTAAACGGCGTTTCCGTGCACTGCTCTGGTTCGCCAGAAGCGGCTTAGTCATGCTGGCCACATGACCTGGAAGCTGTACGCCAGCTCCCTCGGCTAATAAAGCGAGATGAGCGCCGCAACCCCAGAGTCGGTCACGACTGGACCCAATGGTCAGGGGCCCCTTTACCTTTACCTTTATGACATCTGGAGACACCAGGTTGAAGAACGCTCAGCTGGGTGGACCAAATTCCAGCCTTGCTGTAACCCCACCTTCTACGCTTCTTGTTGAAGGCTGGTCCACACGTGTCATGGGAAACTGCCTGTTGACTTGCAGCTTAATGGCTTGCACGTGTGAATGA